AAATAACCGAACTGTGGATTGACAAAGAAGCCAGTGAGCGGTAAAACGCGTTAACCATGGTTACAGGACGTCCCCCCCCCCCCCGTGTGATGTCACAAGTGAGAGGTCCAGCCTTCCACCGCACGCGGCTGCTGACAAAGTGTCCCCCTGGGGGGGGGGATCATTCCCTGAGACAAGACAGTACCGACAAGTAGATTGCTGATCCATGTGAAGCCGCACTTAGTTGGCGCCCCTTGTGCCTTCTCATCACTCAGTGAAATCCGCTCCTGTGATACATTGTATCCATTTGTACTAGTCGGGATAAAATGGAAAAAAATTAAAAACAAGGACAAAAAAATCCAGATGATAGCTTGGTCTAGGTTTGTGTCGGTGTCAAAGGTCGGGGGTCAGTATGTTCTAGGTTTGTGTCGGTGTCAAAGGTCGGGGGTCAGTATGTTCTAGGTTTGTGTCGGTGTAAAAGGTCGGGGGTCAGTATGTTCTAGGTTTGTGTCGGTGTCAAAGGTCGGGGGTCAGTATGTTCTAGGTTTGTGTCGGTGTCAAAGGTCGGGGGTCAGTATGTTCTAGGTTTGTGTCGGTGTCAAAGGTCGGGGGTCAGTATGTTCTAGGTTTGTGTCGGTGTAAAAAGGTCGGGGGTCAGTATGTTCTAGGTTTGTGTCGGTGTCAAAGGTCGGGGGTCAGTATGTTTTAACTAGGTTTGGTTAAAAAAAACTTTATTTAGCGTCGGCGTGTTTCAGGTTTGTTACACAAATCGCAGATTAAATGACGCAGAGCACTTCCTGTGAGTGCAGAGTGGCATTGACCCGCCCCCTTGGTGACTGCTTTGGTGTCATGGGCCTGCCCCCTGGTGGAGTACTGGGTGTCATGGGCCTGCCCCCTGGTGGAGTACTGGGTGTCATGGGCCTGCCCCCTGGTGGAGTACAGAGGTGCATTGGCATGCCCCTTGGGTAAGTGCAGGGTGACATTAGCCCACCCCCTGGTTGAGTGCAGCATGCCATTGGTCCACCCCCCGGGAGATGCATCACTAGGTCACTTTGTGATCACAATACAATGATGCAGAAAACGGCACTCACATCATCGCCACACTTTGCATCACAGCGGTGACAGCGCGCCACTGCAGGGCTTCGTTTCAAGGTAAGTCTTCTATAATGTGCTAGACTGGCCTTGCAGGGAGAAGATTTCCTCGACCCAACACCTACGGCCTAACTTAACCACTATACCTTTTCTGAGCCACAAGACCTAACACCCAACCAAACCCCTACGTGGTATCCTAGCCCCAACACCTAAGACTCAACCAGATCCCCACTCCGTAATCTACACCCAACAATGAAGATCTACACAAACCCTTACACCTTATCCTAGACCCAACACCTAAGACTCAGCCAAAACCCCAATTCGTATCCTAGACCTAACATCTAACACTCAACAAAACTCCCAACCTGCAGCCTATCTAGACCCAACACCAAAGACCTAACCAAACCCCCACTCCTAATCTTAGACCCAACCTCAAAGATAAAAAGACCTAACACCCAACCAAACCCTTATGTCTTATCCTAGCCCCAACACCTAAGACTCAACCAAACCCCACTCCATAATCTAGACCCAACAATGAAGACCTAACCGAACCCTTATACCTTATCCTAGCCTCAACACCAAAGACCCAACCAAAACCCCTACAGTTTATCCTAGACCTAACATCTAACACTCAACAAAACTCCCAACCCGTGTGCTATCTAGACCCAGCACCAAAGACCTAACCAAACACCTACATTGTATCCTAGACCCAACACTTAAGATTCAACCAAACCCCCACTCCTAATCTTAGACCCAACCTCAAAGATCTAACCAAACTTTATTCCTTTTCTTATCCCCAACACCTAACACTCAAACAAGCCCCTACCTTTTATCCTTGACCCAACACCAAAGGCCTCACTAAATCAGTTCACCTTTTCGTAGCCACAAGACCTAACACCCAACCAAACCTCTATGTCTTATCCTAGACCCAACACCTGAGACTCAACCAAATCTCCATTCCATAATCTAGACCCAACAATGAAGACCTAACCAAACCCTTATACCTTATCCTAGCCTCAACACCTAAAACCCAACACCAAAGACCCCCTCAAAACCACTACAGTCTATCCTAGACCCAACACCTAACACTCCGCCAAACCCCCAATTCGTATCGTAGACCTAATATCTAACACTCAACAAAACTCCCAACCTGTGTCCTATCTAGACCCAGTGCCAAAGACCTAACCAAACCCCTACGTCGTAGCTTAGACCCAACACCTAAGACTCAACCAAATCCCCACTCCCAATCCTAGACCCAACCTCAAAGATCTAACCAAACTTTATTCCTTTTCTTATCCCCAACATCTAACACTCAAACAAGCCCCTACATCTTATCCTTGACCCAACATCTAAGGTTTAACTAAACCACTCTACCTTATCCTAGTCTCAACACGTAACACCCAACAAACATCTATGTCCTATCCTAGCCCCAACACCTAAGACTCAACCAAAACCCCATTCCCCAACCTAGACCAAATAACAAAGACCTAACCAAACCCTCACACCTTATCCTAGCCTCAACACCTACGACTTTCCCAAACACCCATTCCTTATCCTAGCTCCATCACCCAAACCCATACATGTTATCCTAGCTCCAACACCCAAACCTATACTTGTTATCCTAGCTCCATCACCCAAACCCATACATGTTATCCTAGCTCCAACACCCAAACCCATACATGTTATCCTAGCTCCAACACCCAAACCCATACTTGTTATCCTAGCTCCATCACCCAAACCTATACTTGTTATCCTAGCTCCATCACCCAAACCCATACATGTTATCCTAGCTCCATCACCCAAACCCATACATGTTATCCTAGCTCCAACACCCAAACCCATACTTGTTATCCTAGCTCCAACACCCAAACCCATACTTGTTATCCTAGCTCCATCACCCAAACCTATACTTGTTATCCTAGCTCCATCACCCAAACCCATACTTGTTATCCTAGCTCCAACACCCAAACCCATACATGTTATCCTAGCTCCAACACCCAAACCCATACTTGTTATCCTAGCTCCAACACCCAAACCCATACTTGTTATCCTTGCTCTATCACCCAAACCCATACATGTTATCCTAGCTCCATCACCCAAACCCCATACTTGTTATCCTAGCTCCAACACCCAAACCCATACTTGTTATCCTAGCTCCAACACCCCAAACCCATACTTGTTATCCTAGCTCAGTGTTTCTCAACTCCAGTCATCATGGACCCCCAAACAGGTCATGTTTTCAGGATTTCCCTCAGATGAAACAGCTGTGGTATTTACTAAGGCAGTGAAACTGATCAAATCACCTGTGCAAAATAATGGAAATCCTGAAAACATGACCTGTTGGCGGTCCATGAGGACTGGAGTTGAGAAACACTGTCCTAGCTCCATCACCCAAACCCATACTCGTTATCCTAGCTCCAACACTTAACCAAACATGGACACTGTATCCTAGACTCAACACCTAAGGCTAAACCAAACTCCTCCCCGTTATCCTAGCCCCAACCCCTTGCATCAACCAAACCTTTGCTTAGCACCAAGACGTGATATCGTATGTACTCTCCAGCGCCTCAGGAAATGCACAGCCAAAGGGAAGCCAAGAGAACCAGGACAGCGACAACCAAAGGAAATGCTTCAGAGGTGCAGCCCTCCTCAGACGGGGAGATCAGCCACTAGATAGAGAATAGACAGGAGGCGCTCACACCGAGTGCAATATCCAGGGTTTATTCAAAGGTATAAAAGATAAAAACACTCAAAGACCAAACATGTATCTAAAAATCATTTGCATAATGAAGAAGGCCACAACGGCAAGTGAGGAATTCCAACTATCATCATTGGCCAAGACCAAAGATCTTCCAAAAACAGAGCAACTCAATCTATTTTTCAACAAGTGAGCAAGCCCAGCATCAGCTAGGCATCAAAAAATTCTCTGAAACTCATGGTTGTTCCTCTCCACGGAAATCTTTAGTAAAAGGCGAAAGATTTATACGATCTGAAGAGAAACCAGAGTATAAAGAACCCCAGCCCTAAACGAGGTTGCCGGCGGCACACAGATGCTGCTCAGCTCACGGTGACTCCTGATTTCATATCATTCACAAACAGAGCCAAATAAGGTGCGGAACCCAATCAAAGGAAAAGGATACTTCAGATCCAAATACCACCAGAAAAGGTTTACCTAGACAAAAATGCCAGTACATGTTACCCGAGATACGATGGGTTATGCAAATACAGACAAGCCAAAGGAATACATGTCTAATAATAACAGTGTGTGACTGTGGGGGAGGGGACATTAGAGTGTAAGCTCCTCTGTTACAGAGACTGAGACTGGGGGGGAGGGGACATTACAGTGTAAGCTCCTCTGGTACAGAGACTGATGGGACTGCGGGGGAGGGGACATTAGAGCGTAAGCTCCTCTGGTACAGAGACTGATGTGACTGGGGGGGAGGGGACATTAGAGTGTAAGCTCCTCTGGTACAGAGACTCATGGGACTGTGGGGGAGGGGACATTAGGGGGAGGGGACATTAGAGTGTAAGCTCCTCTGGTACAGAGACTGATGGGACTGCGGGGGAGGGGACATTAGAGTGTAAGCTCCTCTGGTACAGAGACTGATGTGACTGTGGGGGAGGGGACATTAGAGTGTAAGCTCCTCTGGTACAGAGACTGATGTGACTGGCTCAGTGATCTCTGTACAGCACTGCGGTATATGTCAGAGCTATATACACGTATAATAATAATACTGTCATACAGACAGTTCCTATTTCAGATGTTACAATAAAGTTGTATTTGTGTTGCGCTCGCTCTGGTTGGAAGGTTTGTTGCTGTGAATTCCGCGGCTGACATATAACATGAGGACGGGGCGCGGTGTCTCGGGTGTCCCTAGCGGGTGTCACACGGCTTCTCTCACTGAATGTTTTGTCTACTTCAAGGCGATTACAGTTTCTGCTGATCGATATCTGTGCTCCATTCACTCCATGCAATTACCGCCCCCCTCCATGTGCTTCACACCGCCCTCATCCACGCTTCCCATTACCAAGAGCGCTACGTGACTGCGATCACAGAGATTCCTTCCTCTGCAGAGCTGGAGCCCCCCCACCCTCACCAATGCTAAATCCTCCCCCCACCCGGCCTCCCCTTCAGTCTTGCACAGGTGTAGCGACTCCTCCCCTTCAGTCTTGCACAGGTGTAGCGACTCCTCCCCTTCAGTCTTGCACAGGTGTAGTGGCTCCTCCCCTTCAGTCTTCCACAGGTGTGCCTGCTCCTCCCTTTCAGTCATACACAGGTGTACCGGCTCCTCCCCTTCAGTCTTGCACAGGTGTACCGGCTCCTCCCCTTCAGTATTGCACAGGTGTGCTGGCCCCTCCCCTTCAGTCTTGTACAGGTGTGCTGGCTCCTCCCCTTCAGTCTTGCACAGGTGTACCGGCTCCTCCCCTTCAGTATTGCACAGGTGTGCTGGCCCCTCCCCTTCAGTCTTGTACAGGTGTGCTGGCTCCTCCCCTTCAGTCTTGCACAGGTGTACCGGCTCCTCCCCTTCAGTCTTCCACAGGTGTTCCGGCTCCTCCCCTTCAGTCTTCCACAGGTGTGCCTGCTCCTCCCCTTCAGTCATACACAGGTGTGCCGGCTCCTCCCTTTCAGTCATACACACGTGTGCCGGCTCCTCCCTTTCAGTCATACACAGGTGTGCCGGCTCCTCCCTTTCAGTCATACACAGGTGTGCCGGCTCCTCCCCTTCTATTCTGTATTCTATCTTTTCTATTCAGTTTTTTTTTCTTTTACTTTCTTTTCGGTTCTGTTGAATTCTTTTATATTCTATTCTGTTATATTTGAATCCATACTTTTCTGTTCTATTTTATTCTATAATACACAGATCCTCATCCTCTTTCACTTTTATACTTCGCTGTATTGATTACAATCTGCTTTTTTCGAATTCCAATTCATTTTCAATTCATTTGTTTTTGAATTTGGATAATTTGTTTCGGATACATTTGAATCTCCGAATAACGAAAATTCCTCCTGAAATTCAAATTATAACGAAACAAATCACAGGTTTTTTTTTTTTGTTTTTTTTTTTTTTTGTTTTTTTTTTTTTTTTTAAGTCCGCAAACGTGCAACTATAACGAAAAAACCCGTAAGTGTTCACAAAAAAAGTGCAAGTGCAAAACACCACACGAAAAAGTGCACTTAGGGGTGTGCTGTGTCCTACCCCTAAAGGGGCTTGGACCGCTTACCCTGATCCCCCGGGGCACGAAGCTCCTGACGGGGACAAGGTTCCCAATTGGTCCTCCTGGCCAAAAGGCCTGGTGGACCACCGTTCCCTATGCCCAGCCGAAGCCGGACATCCAGTACTAGGCCAGGGGGTTCTCCCGAAGAAGAGTCCTCTAGGGATCAGGGGAGGAAGGAACCGTAGGGCCACACATCCTCCCCCTAGACTTCAGGGTAGGCCCGAGGACCCACACCCTCCATCCGTGAAAAACACACACATAAGTAACAGAAAAAGTGACAAAACGTGGGAGTGCGTAATAAATAAAGAGAAAGAAAAAATAAAAAAGTGGTTCGGTGCCGAATTGTGCACAGACCGGGCCCTGAGGCCTGTAGCAAAAATTGCCCTGAACTTAGCCGAAAGGCCTGGTCCTTAGGGCGCTGTGCAAAAAAGAGTGTAAAAACAGTGGCCATGTGTCATCTTGACACCGTGGGGTCCCACACCCAAGTGTTACTAGTGACACCCCTGAGCGCGTCTCCTCAGGGGGCACTGAGTTTGCAGACTTTCTGCCTCCTCAGCCCCAGGCCAGACCAAGGTAGATCCGTCCAAACCAGGAGGTACTGGGTCCTTCCAGTCTTCCCAGAGGAATTACTCCCGGGGCCCCGGAACGAATCATGGCGCTCCCTGGTTTCTGTCCCTCCGGTACTAGCCTTCCGGACCCCCATCATACCAGTGAGGGTACCATACAACAACCATCCCCGTAAACTAGAATGGTCGGGAGCCCCCCCACTGGACACTGATAAGAACAGATACTACACTTGATCTTAGCCAAAAGGCCGAGAAACGAAACAAATCACAGGTCCCTAGAGAATGGATGGAGTCCCTCTTAACTCACCGCCCCCACCCCCCCCCCCCCCCCCCCCTCAGGAAGTGAAGGGAAATCCCCTCCCCCACATATGGGAGAGCACCCAATCCAAACCTCATACTTCCCGACACAATTCAGTGTCCGGAGTTCCACTTTTCTGTGAATTATTATCTTGTGTGGATTCTGAACGTCTCTGCATTCTGCACCCCCCCCCCCCCCCCCCCAGGTGAGCCCCCAGCTGAGCACCCTGCTGGAGATCCTTCCCAGTCACTGGCGCCCTCTCATGGTAAGAACTGAGCAGATCCTTTTATATCTGTGAATTTACATGACACTGGAAGCCCCCCCCCCTACCCCCTCCCCCCTCCTCTGGGAGAGAATGACACAAATTGCTGCAATTATAACATCAGAGAGAAGAGAATCATCAATATGGAGGATATTGGAGGTAATACATCACAAGCGACCGCATGAAATCCTCCCGACCCGAGCAACCTGCACCGCACACTAGGATATTATTGTTTATTTTCTATGGCAACAACTTATACCGCAGCGTTGTACAAAAAACACTGAGCCAGTCCCATCAGTCTCTGTACCAGAGGAGCTTACGCTCTAATGTCCCCTCCCCCACAGTCACATCAGTCTCTGTACCAGAGGAGCTTACACTCTAATGTCCCCTCCCCCGCAGTCACATCAGCCTCTGTACCAGAGGAGCTTACGCTCTAATGTCCCCTCCCCCACAGTCACATCAGTCTCTGTACAGAGGAGCTTACGCTCTAATGTCCCCTCCCCCACAGTCCCATCAGTCTCTGTACCAGAGGAGCTTACACTCTAATGTCCCCTCCCCCCCAGTCACATCAGTCTCTGTACCAGAGGAGCTTACAGTCTAATGTCCCCTCCCCCCCAGTCACATCAGTCTCTGTACCAGAGGAGCTTACACTCTAATGTCCCCTCCCCCCCAGTCCCATCAGTTTCTGTACCAGAGGAGCTTACAGTCTAATGTCCCCTCCCCCCCCAGTCACATCAGTCTCTGTACCAGAGGAGCTTACACTCTAATGTCCCCTCCCCCCCAGTCACATCAGTCTCTGTACCAGAGGAGCTTACAGTCTAATGTCCCCTCCCCCACAGTCCCACAGTATTATTATTATACATGTATATAGCTCTGACATATACCACAAGCGCAGTACAGAGATCACTGAGCCGGTCACATCATCTGTATACATTACACCCTCCTGACCCCCGCACTCTGTACATTACACCCTCCTGACCCCCGCACTCTGTACATTACACCCTCCTGACCCCCGCACTCTGTACATTTACACACTCCTGACCCCCCGCACTCTGTACATTACACACTCCTGACCCCGCACTCTATACATTACACACCCTCCTGACCCCCGTACTCTGTACATTACACCCCTCCTGACCCCCGCACTGTGTACATTACACCCTCTTTTGACCCCCGCACTCTGTACATTACACCCTCCTGACTCCCCCACACTCTGTACATTACATTACACCCTCCTGACCCCCGCACTCTGTACATTACACCTCCTGACCCCCGCACTCTGTACATTACACCCTCCTGACCCCCGCACTCTGTACATTACACCCTCCTGACCCCCCGCACTCTGTACATTACACCCTCCTGACCCCCACACTCTGTACATTACACCCTCCTGACCCCCCCCCGCACTCTGTACATTACACCCTCCTGACCCCCGCACTCTGTACATTACACCCTCCTGACCCCCACACTCTCTGTACATTACACCCTCCTGACCCCACACTCTGTACATTACACACTCCTGACCCCCGCACTCTGTACATTACACACTCCCGACCCCCCGCACTCTGTACATTACACCCTCCTGACCCCCACACTCTGTACATTACACCCTCCCGACCCCCGCACTCTGTACATTACACACTCCTGACCCCCGCCGCACTTACTGTACATTACACACCCTCCCGACCCCTGCACTCTGTACAACATTACACCCTCCTGACCCCCGCACTCTGTACATTACACACTCCTGACCCCCGCACTCTGTACATTACACCCTCCTGACCCCCGCACTCTGTACATTACACCCTCCTGACCCCCCGCACTCTGTACATTACACCCTCCTGACCCCCACACTCTGTACATTACACCGTCTGACACCTCCCTCCTGACCCCCGCACTCTTTACATTACACACTCCTGACCCCCGTACTCTGTACATTACACCCTCCTGACCCCCGTACTCTGTACATTACACCCTCCCTGACCCCCCGTACTCTGTACATTACACCCTCCTGACCCCCGTACTCTGTACATTACACCCTCCTGACCCCCGCACTGTGTACATTACACCCTCTTGACCCCCGCACTCTGTACATTACACCCTCCTGACTCCCCACACTCTGTACATTACACCCTCCTGACCCCCGCACTCTGTACATTACACCCTCCTGACCCCCGCACTCTGTACATTACACCCTCCTGACCCCCGCACTCTGTACATTACACCCTCCTGACCCCCTCTGTACATTACACCCTCCTGACCCCACACTCTGTACATTACACCCTCCTGACCCCCGCACTCTGTACATTACACCCTCCTGACCCCCGCACTCTGTACATTACACACCCTCCCTGACCCCCACACACTCTGTACATTACACCCTCCTGACCCCCGCACTCTGTACATTACACACTCCTGACCCCCGCACTCTGTACATTACACACTCCCGACCCCCGCACTCTGTACATTACACCCTCCTGACCCCCCACACTCTGTACATTACACCCTCCTGACCCCCGCACTCTGTACATTACACACTCCTGACCCCCGCACTCTGTACATTACACCCTCCCGACCCCCACACTCTGTACATTACACCCTCCTGACCCCCGCACTCTGTACATTACACACTCCTGACCCCCGCACTCTGTACATTACACCCTCCTGACCCCCGCACTCTGTACATTTACACCCTCCTGACCCCCGCACTCTGTACATTACACCCTCCTGACCCCCACACTCTGTACATTACACCCTCCTGACCCCCCGCACTCTGTACATTACACACTCCTGACCCCCCGCACTCTGTACATTACACCCTCCTGACCCCCACACTCTGTACATTACACCCTCCTGACCCCCGCACTCTGTACATTACACCTCCTGACCCCCGCACTCTGTACATTACACACTCCTGACCCCGCACTCTGTACATTACACACCCTGACCCCCGCACTCTGTACATTACACACTCCTGACCCCCACACTCTGTACATTACACACTCCTGACCCCCGCACTCTGTACATTACACACTCCTGACCCCCGTACTCTATACATTACACCCTCCTGACCCCCGTACTCTGTACATTACACCCTCCTGACCCCCGTACTCTGTACATTACACCCTCCTGACCCCCGCACTCTGTACATTACACCCTCTTGACCCCCGCACTCTGTACATTTACACCCTCCTGACCCCCACACTCTGTACATTACACCCTCCTGACCCCCGCACTCTGTACATTACACCCTCCTGACCCCCGCACTCTGTACGTTACACCCTCCTGACCCCCGCACTCTGTACATTACACACTCCTGACCCC